AACAATACAGATGCCGTGCTGACTGGATGCAACATATGTAGTGTGCAGTGCAGCCGATTGAAGCATTTTTTTCTCTCGTTCTGCATTTAATCCAAACAACACGTTAGCGTGTCTAGCCAGGCTGGCGGTCCGTTCCTTGGCCTTGTGTCCAGTTTGAGATGTACTCATTACTCCTGGATGAAGTGATGTAATATTTGTACTTTCCTGCTCCCCGGAGGATGAGCTCCACTGAATTTGATTATTCTTTTCTGCATTTATGAGACAAAGTGTCCTACTCTGCACATTATGTTCAGTGTCTTTGCCTTGGCACCACCGCACATTTAGTTAAACATATTAAATAATACATAGATATTATGATCAAACACCTAAAACATGCTGGTTAGTAAGTTAGAGCTTCTCCAAACATAGATCAGTGTTTAGAGTGAATACGTCAGGGACTAGGCTGTTTCCAGGATTTTTCCTTCTGAACTGTTTGGGGTTAAGTTTTTATTTTGTTTCCTGGATTTTCTGATCATTGCTGCTCTCCTGTGTTTAATCAGAGTGATTTTAGGAATCAAAATACTAATTATAGTTTAACATGTTAGAGAATGAATATGTGCAGCAGCAAAGTGAAAACTAAATAAAAATGTTTTAGTGCTTGGACAAAAATTTCTGAGGCTTTTTTTTATCCATAAAATCATCAAACTTATTTACCCAGACGAAGCAGGAACTAAACTGATACTGGAACCAGCCACTAGGGGGATGCAAATGTCGACGCTCCTAACCTCTGTGTCTCCTGCTGGTGTTTCGTCGGTGGTTGGCAAACAGCATTTTAGTAAAAATGCTGCTGGACCTGAAGCTAAAAAAGCCATGCAACAATTCTGCTCTTTGATTTGAAGTAAAACAAACAAAAAAAAAAGCAAAAAATAGAAATGTACAATAGGTTGCAATTTGTAAAAAAAAAAATAAAAGCGGCCGATGAATGTATGTGTGCTTTGGACCAAAATATCTATGTGATTGATGGCAATAGTAGTTGGTAAATGGCCTGTGTCAGTCATCCACACGTTCACACACTGGTGATGATAAACTATGTAGCCACAGCTGCCCTGGGGTGCACCAACAGAGGCAAATGTACACATCACTGTCTCTTCAGTCAGAATGTCCCATCGGCCATCTCCCCTCACCACCTCCACTCGTGTCCTAAAGGTCTCCTGTCCAGTTTCAAACCCACAAGCTGCCCAAACCAGTGAGTGATGTCACAACTGTTCACTAATCGAGTGCAGATCCCATAACATATGTTTACCCTGTTAGCTGACTTGCATAACCACGGATGTCATGGTAATAAGAAGTCAATACGTGGCATCACTAAAGGAATATATCTGCTGTGGATTATTCATAATTGTTATAATAATGATAAAAAATAATAATAATAATTTATTATTATTATTATACATTTTATCTAAAAACTCAAGGTCGCTGTGCAGTAAAGGGATTTCAAACCTTAAAAACAAGCACAATAAACGTGCGCAGCAACATTTCATAAGAGTGTTTTTTGCTACCAACCAGGGTCTGCTGAACCTGAACCAGAGCTGTCTCAGCACCAGCGTTCTGCTTCTACAGCTAAACCACCACAAACAGGGCTAGCTAGCACAGATTCTGTTAGAACTACTAACGTGTGGAGGGCAACATCCGATGAAAAGGTCACGAGTGATTTGTTTAAAATCTCTGAGTCAATTTAGGCATGAATATGAAATGAAATCAGCATGAACACACAAGCTCCTTGTATCTCATCTTCCTGCAGCTTGTGCAATTCAAATTCAATCCAAAGATACTTTATTAATCCCAGAGGGAAATTAGAGTTTCAGTACACACGATTCAGAGATCAGACATATATACACAGGCATAGACACATGACAAGAATTGGTGACTGTGGTCATTTGCAACCCGAGTCGCGCTACCATAATAGAGATCAGAGGGTTTACATGAGTATTGGGTCAGGTGGAGGGAAAAAAGGCACTTCAGAGTTACCCTCCACAGGGAGGGCAGCTTGCTATGAAAAAACACCTCAGACAGAAATGCAACAGACTTCAGACATCACAAAACATAAGTGTCCACTAGGTGGGGTGGTAGGGTTTTGGGACTCTCCACACGTCAGCAGCAGCAGCCGCGATAAGCAGCGCTCTTCACCTCAGTCTGGAAAGGGGTGGGAGGTCGTTGGGTTTAGAGGGCACAGTGACTCCTGGAACGATTCAGCGGCCTGCACAGCTCGCAGTCCCGCCCAGGCCGGGATAGGGAGACAGAGTTGCCATGGCGACGGCAGCATTCCACATTTCTTCAGAGGGGGGGTATGTGTTTAAGCCTCACAGGCTCAAGGGCTCCAGATTCATATAAGAAATTGTTTTGGGGCCAGACAGATCATTTCTTCTCTGTCTTAAAGTTCTGTTGATTCTCAACCTCTCAAAATCCAAAAATGGCGTAGATTAATCTATCCCAATCTGTGCTGATTCATCCACTCGCTCCTTGATCGCATCCATCTTTTGTGCCAACGCATTAATCTCAGCCAAAGTTCCAAGCTGACGACTCATCGACAATTATATGAGTCTGTGAATTCACAGCGCGGTGTAATCCATCCCTGAGCTCCGGGAGTGAGCCAATAGAGCTCCGGGCCCCACGAGACTCTCAGTTAGTAGACGCCATATTTGCAGGTAAAAGAAGCTAAACAAACCTGACACCAACACCACAAATATCCAGACGTCTTCAGAATCCTCTACAGACAGCTGAGATAGGCAAATTAGGTTCCACTGTTTCCAGGAGTCCATGATGTGCCCAACTGGATCTGTCCCAGAGGGGCACCCGGGAGCCCCTTCTCCCGTTCTCATCGTTGAGAAAATTTTGTCAATCGTGTTGAGTAACCAGCTGACCAGGTCCATTTTTAATCATTTCTAGTTTCCAGAAAAAATGTAGAAGCTCCATACACCCAAAGACAAAGAGCCTTGGGGATAAGATAGGGAGGAGAGGAGGAAAAAAGTGTCTGTACTCTCCAAGAGCCGGAAGAAGGAGTGGGTGTTTTTTAATCACCAGTCAAGTAGTTAGAGTGAGTCAGAACGCTGCTTAGAGCTGCCTTCAGCCTCTGTTTTCATAAACACTGTTAGAAACTCAGTTTATAAACATGGTTTCAGCTTTTTAACATCACCAGCTAATGATCCGACTGTACCGTATTTTCCGGACTATAAGTCGCACTTTTTTTCATAGTCTGGTTGGTCCTGCAACTTATATACCAAATTATGTATACCCCGCTGCTGCCGGCCGGCTCCGACCCAGGAATGAGCTCCCCTGTGCCGCTGGGAGGGTTTCAAACACCGCCATCCTCTGCTGGAGACCGCGGCGCGCTGCTGCGCCCTGATTGTTTATTCTATTATTGTTACCGGTACTTGTCTTGCAATGTCAAATGCTTGGTCTCAGATTTTGTAAGAAAAATTATAAAATTTTCCCCAAAATGCGACTTATAGTCCAGTGCGACTTCTATATGTTTTTTTTCTTCTTCATTATACATTTTATGGCTGGTGCGACTTAAACTCCAGAGCGACTTACACTCTGGAAAATACGGTAGTTCTCTGTTTGACCATCCATCCATTTTCAGCCACTTATCTGGAGTCGGGTCGCGGGGGCAGCAGCCTAAGCTGAGAGGAGCCCAGACTTCCCTCTCCCCAGCCACTTGGGCCAGCTCCTCTGGGAATCTTAAGGCGTTCCCTGCCCAGCCGAGAAACATAGTCCCTCCAGCGTGTCCTGGTTCTTCCTTTAGGTCTCCTCCCGGTTGGACATGCCCGGAAAACATCAGCAGGAAGGCGTCCAGGAGACAATCTAACTAAATGCCCGAGCCGCCTCAACTGGCTCCTCTCAATGTGGAGGAGCAGCGGGTCTACTCCCGGATGACCAAGCTTCTCACCCTATCTCTAAGGGAGAGCCCAGACACCCTGCAGAGAAAACTCATTTCAGCCGCTCTGTTTGACATTATTTATATACTAGATTGGTGGCATTAAGACATCAATGAGCAGGAGACAGACGCTGTGACCTTTGTAGAAGGACTGTCTCCTGGAACTCCAAATGCAAAAGGAGGCCCAGATGTTCACTGGTTAAACTGCTTTCGGTGGTGGTGACTGACGGTATTTAGAATACGGGGATTTCCACTGTTTAGGTCAGTCATCATAAAGGAAACAAAACAAGACAAAACAGGATGATTTTTAATTAGAGATTGAATTAAAAACCAAACTAAATATCTATCAACAGTAACAATGTGTCATTAATAAATGCTGGTATTTTTATTAAAGAGCAAGTCACCCCGTACAAGAAACTTACTTCACTCCCACTTCATGTTTGAAAAATGCAACAAATGCTGTTGCTTGGCAGACCGAGAGGGCAGAGCTGCTAACAAATACACACACACACAGGCTCACAATGGCATTGTGACATCATAATGTACCAGATGACATCATAGCATACCTCTTAGCCAATAGCGGTGACTGATTTAAATTCAAATACAGTGCAGAATTTTTCCCTGACGATGGCGCAACACTGACAGTTTTAGGCAGAATATTTAAATTTTAACTAAGATGCACTGAAGTACCAAATTGTTGACTACACGTGTCTGTAGCACGATTAGACACTCATTTATATAGTTTATCAGCAAAAAAAGTTTGATTTGGGGGTGACTTGCTCTTTAAGTGTGTAAACACAAGGCCCAGATACGAGATTTATTTTGAGAAACTGATTTTCAGCATATCATCTTCTTGATGATGTTAAACATAAACAAGCACAACTTCCGTCAGTTTAAAGATAAATATCTGGAGTCAACTTACTTTAATGTCACTTGGATAGAATCCAAGCTGAAATCTAAGATATGTTTAGTCATGACGAAGGCAGATTTCTCCTCCTCATAACCAGAATGAAGCTGTAATATTTATTGTGGCATCTGAGCTTCTGGACACATGAACACGTCTGAGTCACAGAAACATCTGACTCACACTGCACATTCAGCTGGATGGAGGAGTTGGTCATCCCCACCACGTTCTCAGCGATGCAGGTCAGCTGGAAGTTGTTGTCTTCCCGGCTGAGGTTGAACAGATTCAGGTTGATGGAGTGGGTGTTGGGCCAGTAGACGTTGGACTGTGGGAGGAGAAGAGCGGGTCAGACGTGTGAAGGATACTCAGCAAAGCACACAGCCCCATCCTGCTGGGGTTTAGAAACGTCATCATCTATTTAAAACTAAGGTTAGTAATTCGTTAGTTAAACTCCTGCTGAAGGAAACAGAGCGCAGTTGAGAATTAAACACTCCAATTGTCCGGTAGAATTTTCCTGAAATACCTAAAACGTTTACTTTTGGCTGGAATAATTCCGTCATTTCACCAAATATTTGAAGCCTAATGAAATCATTTTTATCTGTAAAGTCAAAAATAAAAGCACACAGTGGCTCTGCTGTTGTTTGTAAACAAACAGCAGCTACTGGAGTCAGCTACTGCAAAAACTGATCAGAGAACATTTTAGAAGATACAATAAATAAAATGTCTCATTTATTCTATGGGACGGGGCTTAAACCTTTTACTGCAGCCAGCCACGGGGAGGTGCTGATTATGTTTCATAATGTTTATATATTAAAATAGTATTAATTATAATTAAATAGCAATATTAATGTGCCGAATGACATCTTAATGTGATGTGGGAAGCTCTGCTCTAAAACCCAGGAAGAGCTGCCATGGCGGTCTGTATGTTCAAACAGGAAGTCACTGAGCTAAAAATCATGGTTTTCAGATAACGTACTATGTGACACAATTCATGCATACAGCTAGTTTTATACGTCACTTGTTTTTTTTATCCTTACTTCTGTGATGACTTCTTCAAACTACACAGTGAGTTTAGCCTTCAGAAGGGGAGGAAATGTATGTCTTACAAAATAGGAGCATGCATGTGAGGCAGTAAATATAAAACACACTTTACAAATGATACTTGTCTGTCAAATGCATCATTTGGGGATTCATTTTAGCTTTAATTTCAGTACTAATGTGATTAGTGGCAGAATCATGGTCTGAATGTATCCTATGTATTTAAAATCCTATGTATTCAAAAACATCATGGATGGAGTTTAGCCACTTCTAGATGTGCTGTAGTACTTTGTCATGTGACAACATCCATCCGCCCCTGTGACCCTGTGACCAATGAGAAGCACTGACACGTGGCTGACAAGCTTCACTAACAACTGTTGCCATCTGACCTTGCTCCTTCAGGTCAGAGCCGTCCATCCCGACTCTCCCAGACACAGACGGTATAAAATCCCTCTGGTCAACACTAACCACAGAGAGCTGCGTCGACCAAAACCAGAGGGGCAGCAAAGACTTTATCAGACGGAAAATTAGAGATCAGCCAAAGATTCAGCTGCCAGGGTGCATTCTGAGACGTTGTCAATGACAGAGAAGGAGGACTACACCACGGATCCTTATCTGAACGAGGACTGACGGGATTATTCTTGTGTTTTTGTCAGAAACTGACCTGAAAGGGAACAGAAATGGGAAACCTTTCTGACATCACACTAAAATAGTTCTGCTCTGATGCCCGTTGGTACCTTTGTTGTTTGTTTGTGGAGGTATTTTAAGCCGTGTGTGTGTGTGTGTGTGTGTGTGTGTGTGTGTGTGTGTGTGTGTGTGTGTGTGTGTGTGTGTGTGTGTGTGTGTGTGTGTGTGTGTGTGTGTGTGTGTGTGTGTGTGTGTGTTTCTGACCAGGTGTGTATTGATGGAATGCAGCCCTCTGACAGTCCAGTCCACTTCAGGCAGCGGTAGTCCGGTTCCGTTGCAGCTCACCGTCACATTGTCACCCTCTGTCATCAGCACACTGCTGTGACTCACGCTTATCTCAGGTAGGTCTGAAAACACACACACATACACACATGCACGCACACACACACACACACACACGCACGCACACACACACACAGGGATGAATCACCATGTGGACATTAAACAGCGGAGCCTGTCAGAACCTACACACAGCTCCTCACACCAGATTGACCCTGTGACCTCTGTCACACCTCCTCCTCCTCTTCCCATGTCAACTCATCTCCTTCACTCTGTCCTCTAACCTTTTCCTTCTCTCTGCTTTTTGTTGCTTTTCTTTGCCTCTACCTCCTTCCTTCTCCTCCTATCCCCCTGCTGCTCCACCGCTCGGTCCTCTTACCACAGCTGTTGATGTGCATGTTCTTCAGCAGGATCTTTTCAGCTTTGTGCCTGCAGAACAACTGCTGCGTGTTTAGCCCTGCTTCTCCTCTCTGCTGCCACAGCTGGATCCAACGAATGTCACAGCCACAGTCGAACATCACTCCGTCCAGACGTCTAGAAAACAGGAAACACAACGACGAATGAAAAATAGAAAACCGGAGAACTTAAAAACCCAAAGGAACAGCATCAAGCTAAACACCTATAGTGAGAAACACAAAGTACTTGGTAGAATTTAGTCCTGAACCACTGATCAACATATGACTAGGGATTTCTCCTTGTGATTCTGGCCTACATTACCCAGAATGCCTTCAGATGGAATATTACCAGCATTAGTAGCAGCTTGTGGTGCCTGGAGTGTTTGAGCATAAACATGTTCCTATAGGTCCATTTTTCTACAGATCATGTACTAAAGAGGACAGTTGTTCAGTTCTACATCTTCTATGGCAGTGGTTCCCAACCTTTTTCCCAAGGGACCCCGTTTTCACCAGTAAAATTTTTGACGACCCCCTCCCATTCTCTCTTCCAGTACAAACAGTATTAATAAATGATAAAATTGTTCAAGCACATTTTAATATGCTTTGATTCAATAGATAACAGTAATAGTAGACTCCAGTACAGAACAAAGTCATTAACAAAACCAAACAGAGCATAATGTGCTTGACAGTTTGTATTACTTTTCTGAACACATTGTTTCTTGTAAACACTGATAAATCAATCATTCCTTTCAATAAACGTTTGACACATAAAAAATACACTGAGAAAAATGTACTTAAAGTGTATATTACTGTTTATACTAGATTATTTACTGTAAACGCTGTGATTAATCCACCAGTCCTATCTTTAATGAACTTTTGACACTTGAAAATAAAACAGTGAGCTGAGCAAAATGTTCTTAAAAGTGTGTTACTCTTTCTGTACTAATTATTTCCTGTCTTAATATCAGTAAACTTTTCACTCATGAAAAAAATGTGAGCAAAATGTAGGCTATAAACAAGTAATAAATGAAGTTTTAACCCCTTAAAGTGGAGAGGTCCTGGCGACCCACTGAGAGGCTTTGGCGCCCCTTTGTGGGGGTCGGGACCCCCAGGTTAGGAACCACTGCTCTATGGGCACAACAATTAGAGTACACAAAGACATGACGATCAGCTGACGTTGACTGTCTCAGAGCTGAAGATCAGAAGAGACCAGAGCTTTTCATTTGTGACCGTAGAATTTTAAACATGCTTCTTCATCTTCTAAAGTCAGTAAGTTCACCAGAAGCTGGTGTCTGGAGCAGGTCTTCGCTCCATCACAGGGACAGATTGATCCAACCAGTAACTCACTCGCTCACTCACTCACTCACTCACTCGCTCACTCACTCACTCACTCACTCACTCACTCACTCACTCACTCACTCACTCACTCACTCACTCACTCACACTCTTTCTCTCGTCTCACAGCTCATTCACACACCCTCATTCTCTACTGGGCAGAGCATAAGTAAAAGGGGATCTAAAGCTGACGCCTGGACTGTAAAATGGTCCGAGACAGAACCACACATGCAGATTGTCAGCTGGAATTTGACAAACCTTTCTTATGAGTTCATGCTAACTCCAAGTAGAAATGACACAGTTAGTATTTGAACCTGCAACCTTCTTGCTGCAAGGCAACAGTGCTACCAGCTGCAACGCCGTGCAGCTGCAAGGCTCTGTGACAAACAAGAGGGAAGAAAACTCGTAAACATTTAGATATTTTGAGAATTTCCTCGTAGCCATCCATTGAGATACCAACTTAATGTCTTTATATAGAGGACAGCTATCCTCATATTTTACTTATTATACAGCATTGTCAGTGGTTTATACGACTAGAAAAACAATCTGGTTCTAAGAAAAAAATGCAACAATCCACGAACAAAAGAAAGAAGTACATTTCTGGCCATAAATTGGCTCTGAGTGCACAGAGAAGGAAAAACAAGATATTTTTATGGAATGTGGTAAACGTATTCCAAGAATCCGTACAAGACTGTGAATTCTGTGAGGTTAAAACACACTTTAGTGTGTCACCTTTGTGCTAAACAGCAAGTTCTGCGCAGCTAAGCCAGCAGCACCATCAGTTACCGTTAAAATATAAACCAGAACCAACATCTAAATCATCGCGAGTGCTCAGAAAAGGCCGTTCCAGATTTATGTTTCCTAATGTTTTCTAATAGCGGGATCCGCTCTCGTTATCAGACGGGAACCAAGCAGGCTATCAGTCTCGGGCTGCATTAGCAGCAGACAAGTATCATTAGGCTTCATCTTCATACATTTCATTCTCACCGCAGTGGGAAGCAAAGAGCCACATTATTCAGCTCTCCACTCCACCTTTGCATTTTGCATGTCTTCCATTTGGAGGCTGTGATTGGCCAATCGTGTCAAGACCAATGCCCATTCAAATGTCCTTGGCAGAGGTCAATAAGATATTGCAGAAAGCGTGAATCATTTATGAGCAGAGTCCAGCGAGCTTTATGAAGTCTGGAGGTCTACAGGTGGATCTGATTTAGAGTCAGGTAGACGCTCTCCACACTCACCAAGTGACGAGTTAGTCTTATCCAACTAGTGTGAGTTAAGGTGTGTGTGCCATCGGTACTAGTGTTTGCCACTTGGCCTTCAGTTTTCCATCGGACCATGAGTACAATAAGTCCATTTTTAATAAGACTGTGACTCTTTATTCACATCAGATATGGCTCAAACACAATCAAATTCACACCTTCTCATACAGAATTAGACGTGTCTCACACACAGACAACTGCGGCAGGGGGCCCGCTCACTAAGTGGGCGGGGCCTAGCGTAGGGTATTCGAGAGCATGCATGCCGAAGCTCCAGTTGCTTTTTGAATGACCATACATGTGGCTTTTCAATGGTCTGTTTGATATATAAAGGAATCACGGTGGTATTGGAGTTTAAGCCTAACTGTACTGAATGACCCTCCTCGGGGATCTGGGGGTCTGCCCGGGCAACAGACCGGTCCCAGTAAATGTAGACTCTTACAGCAATATTACCAGTCTGATGTGAACTCATAGGTTTGACCCCAGTAATGATAAGCCTTACTCTAAGGCCTAGTCCACACGTAGCCGGGTTTTTTTAAAAACGAATATCCGCCCCTCCAAAAACTTGCATCCACACCACCTCGTTTTTAAAACAAACTCTGTCCACACGTACCCGGATAAATACGTTGTTATGGACATGCCAGACCTGTAGGTGGCAGTACTCCCCATTCTTAACCTCGTCCTTCGTCTGTGGTCTTCCGCAATGAGCAGTGATTCCACTTGCAAAAGCAAACAAGCAGAAAGCGCTTGGACAACTGATGGATCGGGTAGTGACAGAGCGCAGCTCTGAGGGCTTCCATGCTGTCTGCTAGTGAAAACACAGGTCGCACACGTGATGTCAGCATTTTTTGTCGTGGAAAGTGACGTTGCGGACCTTAAAACTCCGGTTTTGTCCGTCCACACGCAGACACCCAAAACGGAGAAAACGCAGATCTTCACTTTGGCCGGAGTTTTTAAAAAGACCCGTTTTCATGTGAAAAAACTCTGTTTTCGTGTGGATGACAGGCCAAAACGTAGAAAAATATCTACGTTTTGGCAGATCCCCGGCTACGTGTGGACAGGGCCTAATATTCTTTTAGTGATGGTAGTTTTAAACTTATTATGACATTTTAACTCATTTCCACATATGAATCCTTAAAAATCCCAGTAAATAACAGAACGTAACGTTTGTTCGTTGAGGTTGTCAATAAAGGTGTGTGTGTGTGTGTGTGTGTGTGTGTGTGTGTGTGTGTGTGTGTGTGTGTGTGTGTGTGTGTGTGTGTGTGTGTGTGTGTGTGTGTGTGTGTGTGTGTGTGTGTGTGTGTGTGTAACTGCAAAGATGACCTAGTATTACCAGTCTCCAGTTAGTGGGAGCGTCACATGTGCAAATGCTCTGAGAACACGTTTTAAACAAACACTCATGACGACAGGAACAGCTGTATGGACAATCTGGGTTTTAACATTTGTTCTTGGTAAGCAAAAAGCTTTGAGACTAGACAGAAGTTTACTTCTTTTTTTATTCTCCAGAAACAGCAGAAAATACTGCAGATCTTCCAATCAGAAACAGGTGCTTTAACTTTCATCTTTTATGCGATGAAAAGTAGAAAAAAATGAGGAAAAAACACACATGATGTGGAAAACTTGGTAGTTATTCTTTGTGAAGATGAAAATGGGATGGTGTTTAAAAACATACAGCAGAGAGAGCTAAATGCTAATAGGCTAAAAGCTGTTTCAACTGCATTTAATGCGGACGTATGACACGAAATCTGGGCAAACTTGGTCAAAAAAAGTGCACGGTGGTGCAGTTGTTAGCACTGTTGCCTCGCAGCAAGAAGGTTGCAGGTTCGAAGCATTCTGCGCGCAGTTGCATGTTCTCCACATGCACGCGAGGGTCTCCTCCGGGTATGGTGGTTTCCACCACAGATCACAGCATGCCCTATAGGTTAACAATTGTACGTCACTTTGGATTAAAGCATCTGCCAAATAAACAAAAAAGTTTAAAAGAAGAACAAGGTTGATAGGATTTAAACGCATGACTGAGTTTAGGCTGCAGAAAGGCTGATGCTGTGCACTAATCTGCAGATTGGATCAAACTGAGGTTTTATTGGCACATTTAGGAAACATCAGGTGCCTCCACATGATGGTGGAGAGGAACATTCCAAGGTTAAAGGTTTTCGTTTATTGCTGAGCTAGCAAACCGCGAGGGAGTGATGCTCACCGGAGAGCTACGGGCTTTTCCCCTTCCACTGTAATTATGGTGATTATTAATAATAGCCACCACCTTCACAAAATAACCACCATGCCTCTGGGCAGAGCTGACTGGCATCTGCAGACTTCCTTCATGCTTGTAAAAGAGAAAGCCTCACAATGGAAACGTGGGCCCATGCAGACACCAGAGCGGAGGGAGATGTGCGTATCGACACGGTGAAAGCAGGCAGAGCGACAACACCAGAGGAGAGAGGCTAACCGACAGCTGGGAGGTGATAAATGTCTAAAGGAGAGCAGTTTAGATGGAGAAAGGAACCAAAGCAAACAGCAGCGTGACCTCGGATACAGGAGCTAGCATCAC